TTCCCAAACGGTTCTCTTCCTCGTAGTTGCAGGACGGAAAGCAGTTACATGCTTTCGAGGCATACTTACGATGGTGTCAGCACAGTGGTTGGAAAGACCGACCTCGCGATTGAGAACGGCGGCGGGTTGATTGCCCACAACCCCGCTGAAAACGATTTATCACGGACTTACGAACACAACATTCAGACAGTCTCCTTAAGTTCCCGTATATCGTTATGCGAATCGAAAAGTCCTTGTGCGAGGCCAAAGGGTTGAGTGGTGAACGACAGCAAGCTTTCGGTGTCGAACGCGAAGTGATTCGCCCGATTTTTGGGGTTGACACCAGATTCATCAGATGAAAAACTGATACAGTTGGGTTAGCATTGAATAATGCGATCTGAATGCTTGACCAGTTTTTTTTGCGATGTACTCTCGTCGAGCGTGGCCAACACTTATTGCATCGGGAACGGGAACTTACCCGTCGACATTCCGCGAAAATTCGCGTCGTCAATATGACGACCAGCCAGCAAAGTGCGCATAACATGCATTAATCTTGATAGCGTCCGGTCACCTAATTCAAATGAAGTGAAGAGCTCGGGCAGCATACTGTCGACCGATTGGCCGTACGCTGAAGTACCACTTCTGTCAATTGTGATTACGACTTATCCTCGGGTATAGGATTGAGAAAACCCTGGATTGTGACTGCTACATTAGATGGCAGTGATTGTAGGACGCCCGAACACTCGGTACTCTTGCTGTAGATGCAGAGTTTCGAAAGGACGCCTTCGATCCGAATGAACCAAACTCACAGGTTGCTGGAAGCCAAGGCGGGAGTTTGATGGCAACGGCATTAAAGTCAGGAGTGTCCGTATGATTGGCAGCATCGTTGCTTGTCTCGCACATAGCAAGCAAAAAGCAAATGCGTATAGAAGAGGCACAACCGGGTCACCAATTTGTAGTGGCTAACTGTAGTTAATACCAACGAAACGAATAAAATGTGTTTAAATCAAGGTAGCGAAAATCCTATAGAGTATCGACTATACTA